AAACCCAATCTATGAATTCCTAGCTGGACTATACATTCCTCTTAATTTATTATCAACACATAAGGAACTAGAGCATTAGGAACTCATCATAGCATTGATAGTGTCGCTGTCATTCTCCCTCTTATTCGTTGCTATGAAAACTTACTAATTAGAATTGGAAATGAACTATCACAAATAAAACATAAAATGAACAAGTAAATACCTAGTGATCTTGAATAAAGGTGAGGCTTGAATGAGGACTTTGGAAATGTTAGGATTATGGTATCGTCTTTGTTTGTAGGAACCGAAGCGATAGCGATGGCAAAGCTGTGTGCTAGGTTTTGGAGCTAGAAAGGGCTTGTAAATTTTTTACACGGTTTAGGCTAGGTGAAAAATGGATTGAAAAGGCTACTAATTCAATAAACTCCAACTCGTTGTTGCTCTTAGAACCTAGAAAACCAAGAACTCAAATCCTTATTTTTCTTCCCGACCACACTCTTCTTTTTTTTTTTAGATGTCTTCTCCTCCTTTCTCATCTAAAATACCCTCTTATTTATACCCATTTTCCTGCTAACAAAATCAATTTTCCATTTCCTTCTTCTATTTCAAATTCTTTGATCAAAACTTCTTACTCCTTATTTTGTTATTGTTTTTCTAACATCCTCACCCTTTATTTTTATTACAACACGACATGCGGACAAAGCAAAGGAGAAGGTTAGGTGAGGTGGCTAGGGATCAAAATCCATTGGAAAAATATGAGAAATTAAAACCATTTCTGGTTTTGAAATGAAAGAGACATTGAACAATCATTCACTGTCTCAAATGTTGATTTCGACCACATGCCAAATCGGTCCCTCAACTTTAATTTTTTTTTTCAATCTTTCCTCCGATTCCTTTCAATTATGTCCTTAATTCATCCCAAATTTTATTCAATTTGACCCTTATTAACCTCCAATTTCAAGCTACGATTTAATGCAATTATGCTCCTAATTATGCATATCCCTAAATTTTATCTTTTTTCTATATTTTTATCTATTTTTGCATTTTTTATTTCTTTTCTCCTTCTTTTTTTTATTGTAAGTACTAAAATAAATAAAATAAGTAAAATAAAAATAAATAATAAATAAAATAAAAACAAGAAATAAAAAATAATAATAAAATAAAGGAGGATAATAACAAAAAACTAAAAACCTAAAAGGGATAAAATTTGAGGAAAATATATAACCTAAAATTTGGGTTATAACGAGTAATGATCAAACACTTCATAAGGAAAATATCAATAATGAAACCTACAATAGTTGACCACAATAAATAATATTAAAAAGATCCTAATGAGGGAAAAAAAGTTAATTCTAAGGACTATTTGGTTTATCTACAAGAATCGAAACTGATTTTAAAACTAACAATGACCCTGTTTCATTTTTACAAGTCATGAAATGCGATGATTCAACTAAGTGGATTATTGTCATGGAGGAAGAGCTAAAATCAATGGATCAAAAATCAAATAAAAAATCTTTTTAAATTACCCGAATGATGTAAAATGGTTGGGTGTAAATGGCTCTTTAAGACAAAATGTGACTCAAATGAAAAATATTAATTGATATAAAGCTAGACATGTTGCTAAAGGTTTTATTAAAAAATATGGCATTTATTATAAAAAGACTTTTTAATAGTTTTCAAGAAAGATTTTCTTCGAATTATCTTGACTCTATGGCTTATTACAACTTAGAGTGACACCAATGGATGTTAAAACTATATATATATATATATATATTATCAAAATTTAGAATAAGAGGTTTAAATGGACCATCTTAAGGGCTTTTCAATTAAGAAAAAGAAACATATAGTGTGTAAATTAAAGGTATCTTAAATTTAATAATATTATCACTTTTTTTTTTAGATTTCAAGAAAACAATCTCTCTCTCTCTCTCTCTCTCTCTTACGTATATATGTGTGTGTGCGCGCGCGCGTGCATAGATTAGTGAAAGCAAGTTTATTTTTCTAATGCTATATATTGATGACATTTTGCTAGATACTAATTATTTTGGTTTCTTACACAAAACCGAAATACCTCTCTACGAATTTTGAAATGAAGGATATGATAGAGGCGACTTATGGAATAGGAATATAAATATTCCATGATAGATCACAAAGATTATTGGAGTTGTATTAGAAAGCCTACATTAATAAAATTCTAAAGAGGCTTAAGATGGATAAAAGCTAAATAGGAATAGTTCCAATTCCAATTCAAAAGAGACATAAATTTAATATTAAGCAATGTTTGAAAAATAAAATGGAATGATAGGAAATAAAAAAATATTATTTATACATGAATTGTTGGAAGTTTAATATATGTTCGAGTCTTTTACTAGGCTAGACATCAATTTTACTTTCAAAATATTAGGCATGTATCAAAGTAATCCAAGTATGGATCACTAGAAAACTCGTAAAGAAAGTTTGCGGATACTTGCAAGGAATGAAAGGTCGGATACTCACTTATAAAATTCTCCTCATCTTGAGGAGAATGGATATTCGTATTTAGATTTTGCCAAATGTTTTGGTTTAACAAAATCCACATTTGGCAACTTGTTTCTATTAGTTGAAGGAGCAATTTTATGGAAGAGTACAAAGCAGTCTATCACTATTGGATCCATTATGAAAGTTAAGTTTGTAAAATGCTTTAAGACTACCATTTATGAATTATGATTGTGAAATTTTATTTTAGGAGTTGAAGTTGTCAACGGTATTGGTAGGCTACTAAAAATTTATTTTGATAACTCTACAACGAGTTTTCTTCTCTAAAAAATGATAAGTATTCTAATGATTCTAACTATATAAAAATCAACTATCTTGTTGTTAAAGAAGAAGTTCATAAATAAAATAGTGTGAATTGAGCACATTAGCACTAATCTTGTGATTGTAGATCATTTGAAAAAAGGATTGGCACTCAAAACATTTAATAGACTTGTTGAAAGGAAGAAAAATATTGGAAATCATTAGTGATATTGTATTATATTTTTGACACTCTAAAATCAATTATATGCTTATGATATTTGTTATTTTCTATTTGGTATGCATAATTATTTTAGAATAATGTTAACATGAATAGTCTTATAATAAAGATACTAAAATTGAATCATTATTGTCCTCGTTAAAGATCGTGTTAAGTTGAAAGTTAGTGTTGTGATACATTAAAAATACCATATTAAGGAAATGACATACATTCATCATGACTCGCATTAATATTTAAATTTAATATGATATAACTTTATAACCAATGATCTAATGTTTTACACATTACGTTCTTCATATTAAATCATAAATGCAATATTATATGGTCTAAGTGAAAATAATATAAAAGTAATTATAGTCCACATGATACATGTATTTTGAATGTAAAATTAGTCATGGCCTACATGATGCATGATATTAATTATAATACATGTATTAATTATGATACAAAATATTTAAAACATATCTAATTAATTAATTATGATACATGATATTATTTATGATATATGATATTTAATGTGTATCTAATTCGATACATGTAATTAATTATAATACATGACGTATTTCTAATTAATTACCATACATGATCAAATATTTTCCTATAAAAAGAGGAATTTGATTCTCTCTTTACTTTTAATAAAAATAACTAAAAAGTAAAAGAAATATGGAAGCTATCATATTTTTATATCATTAAAAAAGAGATCAATTAGAGAGAAAAATCATTCTTTTATGTATTTTTTTGCTTCTCAATATTCTTCGAGTTGTGAATGAATTCGAGTATGTTTTCTTTTCAAATTATGTGAAAATTTTGAAGTTTTAAGATTTATAAGAATGATGAATTTATATGTTATTTTTTTGTGTAATAATATATATATATATATATTGTTGCTATAAGATTATTATTATTATTCATTTTATTAATTTTTTTTCTTTTTTTGAGTTCATGGTAAATAGCAGTTTGGAGGTGGAAATATTGTTGGTTTGAATTTGGAGTAGCTGATAAGTACCAGGTTCAATTATTAAAAGAGGACAACTTTTAAAGATTAAAAATTCTGTTAAGGAGAGCATGATGCCATGGGCCGGCCACCTTACGGATCAGCCTAATATCAGGTGGAAAATTTTTATTGATGAGAAGCTCTAAGTGTGACAGCAAGAGATTTTGCTTGCACAGTTGAATTGCTAGCTGTTATATAATTAGAAATGGCTTCTGTCTATTGGTGAGTTGATATGTGCACATGTTTGAATTTTATTGGATGGCCCCATTTTGATCGTTGAGGTTCTGCTTCAAGCTGGTTGCGTCTTAGTGGTTGGCAGGTTGTAAATTAATTGTTCGTTATTAATTACTCATTTGTTATATATATATATATATATATATATATATATAGATAGATATACAAAATTAAAAATATCTTACATTACTTAAAATTTTGATCAAACAAATATATTTAAGATAAGTATAAATAGAAAGATAACATATATATATATATATATATATATATATATATATATATATATATGAGAAAATAATTTTCTTGACGGGGATGTTTGCTAGCAGTGTGTGAATATACATAGGTGAATAATCCAATTCTTTGACATTGAACTTTTTGTTCCATTTTAGAGTAACGTTACTCATTTCGAATTAATTAATCGAATGTTGACCGGGTGCATTTGACCGGTAAATTATATATATATATATATATAATTTGTGGAAATTATTCGAGGTGCAAACCAAACCCCCAAAATTAAATACACGAGTCCGCATCAGTTTGGATACATTGCTGTCAAATGGATTATGTTTTCTTGTCTTTGATTTGGTAGTGATTATTGTTCGCGATATATATAGTTGGTTTTGGTATCGATTTTTTGACATTTCGATGCAGGTTTGTCAATTTTATACTTTTGTCACACAGCACATTTTAAGTGTTTGATCTGAAAATCTTGACAACAACCCCATCTCCTGCGATATAAATTCTATTCCAGGGAGGAGGATTGGTGTTCATTGCTTAAAGATGAGGGGAGCTGTTCTTGTAGCACTTGCTGCTACGGTGGGGAATCTGATACAAGGATGGGACAATTCAACCATTGCAGGTACGCATATGCCTTTAAATCAAATAGATTTTGTTCATTGCAAGATTTATGGACAAAGTTACATTACGGTCATTACCAACCCATATTGTGATTCTTGATTCATGTGCAAGCTGGTACGTTTTGTTTTTCTCGTTCTGATCTCTTTATTTGGTTGCTGAGAATATGGGGATATTAAAGGACTTTGATAGAATTTTTGAGTTTTGCATAAAGAATGCATTTTGTGTAAATCTTAATTTCATGTGTATCCCAAGGTTTCTGATTCATGGTAATGAAAGTAAATTCTAAATAAGATTCAGAAAAAGGGATAAAAAAATCAATGGCTGCATCTCAACTTGCTTCGTGGAATGAAGTATTGCCATTGTTTCTCAGGGTCCATTCTTTACATCAAGGAGGAGTTCAATTTGCAGTCTCAACCAGCAATAGAAGGGCTAGTAGTAGCCATGTCAATTATCGGTGGCACTACTATTACAACAATTTCTGGACCAGTATCAGATATCTTCGGAAGACGTCCAATGCTGATAATGTCCTCAATTCTTTATTTTCTTAGCAGTCTAGTTATGCTATGGGCTCCTAATGTTTATGTACTGCTTTTGGGGAGACTACTTGATGGTTTTGGAGTTGGTCTTGCTGTCACTCTTGTTCCTTTATATATATCTGAAACAGCCCCATCTGAGATTAGGGGGCAATTAAATACCCTTCCACAGTTCATGGGTTCAGGAGGAATGTTTTTGTCATATTGCATGGTGTTTGTCATGTCAACGATGGCTGCACCAAGCTGGAGGCTGATGCTTGGGGTTCTGTCAATCCCTGCTCTCATTTATCTTACATTGACAATTTTTTTCTTGCCTGAATCTCCAAGGTGGCTTGTGAGTAAAGGAAAGATGATTGAAGCTAGACTGGTTTTGCAGAGACTTCGCGGCAGGGAAGATGTTTCAGGTTTGTTGTAGGCGTGCATACTTAATTGTACTATTCTATTCCTTCCTTCTGGTTGAAATTTGGTGGCAATTCTAAAGCTCCTTTGATCTTCAGGTGAGCTGGCTTTGCTAGTTGAAGGCCTTGGTGTTGGGACAGAAACAATGATAGAAGAGTACATTATTGGCCCAGCCAATGAGATTACTGGTGAAACTGATGCGAAAGAACAAGTTAGATTATATGGAACCGAGGAAGGTGTCTCATGGATTGCCAAACCTATCACCTCTGGACAAGGTAGTTTAGGGATAGTGTCCCGTCACGGCAGCTTGGCGAACCAAAGTGTGCCATTGATGGATCCTCTTGTCACTCTATTTGGAAGTGTCCATGAGAACACTCCTATGATTGGAAGCGCACGCAGCATGCTTTTTCTGAACACTGGAAGCATGTTTAGTGTTGGAGAAAATCAATGTAGAACTGAACAGTGGGACGAAGAGGGCGGAAGGGATGGTGAGGACACTTATCCAGAAGCTTTTAGTGCTGATTCTGATGACAATTTGCATAGCCCATTGCTATCACACCAACATTCTAGCATGGAAAAGGGCATGGGTAATTCGGCCATGTCAATCAGTAGGCGCAATAGCAGCCTCATAAATTCTGGTGAAGAAGGTGTTGTGGGTATTGGTAGTGGATGGCAGCTGGCATATAAATGGTCTGAGAAATTAGGCAAAGATGGAAGGAAGGAAGGAGGGCTTCAGAGGATGTATTTGCACCAGGAAGGTGTGATTAGTTCTCAGCAGGAATCTGTTATTTCCTCTTCTGGAATTGACATTCCTGAAGGTGCGTGTGTACAAGCTTCTGCTCTGGTTAGCCAACCTGTCATTTGTTCTAAGGATGTACTGGGACATCTATCAGAGGTTCCAGCAGCTATTCAGCCATCAGAAATAGCTACTAAAGGGCCAAGCTGCAGTGACCTTTTTGAACCAGGAGTTAAGCGTGCATTGATTGTTGGAGCAGGCCTTCAAATACTTCAACAGGTATATCAGTGTAGCTTTGTCTCACTCAAATTTTTGCATTTAGCATGACTGCAATTTGGGTTGTCACCGTGACATTGTTCCTGTTATGCGCAAACTTTCTTGTTTATGCAGATTGCTGGCATAAACGGTGTTCTCTATTACACGCCCCAGATTCTTGGGCAAGCTGGAGTGGTAGTTCTTCTATCAAATCTGGGCTTGAGTTCAGCTTCTGCATCTTTATTGATCAGTGCTCTCAGTACATTCTTGATGCTTCCTTGCATATTTCTTGCCATGAGACTAATGGATGTCTCTGGCAGAAGGTCAGTTTCTTCTGTTTAAGAATTTCTCATTTTGTTCATTGAAAATCTACTAGTTCTTTATATTTGAAGTTGAAAGCCACTAGTGTCAACAGAGTTTTTTGCTTCTTTCAGGTCTATAATGCTGTACACTATCCCTATCTTGGTAGTGTCACTCCTTGCTTTTGTCCTTAGCAGTGTTTTGGACATGGACTCGACTTTGAAAGCAGTGATCTTAACTGGCAGTATTATGGTCTACTCGAGTTGTTTCGTCATGGGCTTCGGAGTAATCCCAAACATCCTTTGTTCTGAAATCTTCCCGACTCGTGTCCGAGGCCTTTGCATCACAATATGTTCTCTGACATATTGGACTGGAAACATCACCATCACTTACTCGCTTCCTGTTATGCTCAACTACCTTGGCCTTCCTGGTGTGTTCACAATCTATGCCATTGCATGTGCCGTGTCATGGATTTTTGTTTTCTTGAAGGTTCCAGAGACTAAGGGCATGCCCCTTGAAGTCATCACCGAGTTCTTTGCTATGGGTGCCAAGAGAGATTGACCTGAGGATCCTACTAGGGTTCAAATTTCTTTGTTGTTTTAGCACTCCTGAAATGAGCTTCCCAGTTTTAGATAAAATGATTAGAAGGATGCTTGAAAATGGAAACCCCGACGACGGCGAAGACATTGACAACATGGAAATGGAACACTGAAAAGAATGATGTGATTTTATTTATTATTTTTCGATATAATCTGGGATAATTGCATTGTGGACTAGTCAATGTCCTACTTCTCCGGCATTCTATTCTTGTCATTTTCAATTTTTGGGCACTGCTCATGTTGGTTTAGCAGAGGCCATCACTACCAGAAAAAATAGGATTAGGGACGGTTTTTTAGCGGCGGTTTGTAAACCATTGCTAAAAAACAATTAGTAGCGACAATTTTAAAAAAACCATCACTAACTATCCATAAGAAATGGGTTTTAGCAACTGCTTTACAAGCAATCGCTAATTCATTCACTTTTGACTGATTTTAGTGATGGTTCATGTAAAATCGTTGCTAATAAAATAAAGTTTTGCGCATTAGAAATGGTTTAATTAAACCATCGCTAATTCAAAAAAATGAATGAAATATAATGATTGTTTACCAAAACCGTCGCTATATTTCCTTAAATATGTGTGCATTTAAGGACGAGTTTTCTAAAGCCATCGCTAAATATGATTTACTTTAAAATATGAATATGGAAGCAATTAGCAATTTTATTTTTTTTATTAAAACAATCTCTAATATCATTAAATTAGCGATAATTTTTGAAAACCGTAGCTAATTTACGACCATTGGAGGAAAAATGATAACTTCAAAATTGTCATTTAATAGTGATAGTTTTAGCAACGAGTTTGGTCTTGTTGATAAAAGTTTCAATCCCTAAAACCACACTTGCCTCAAAAAATTTTCCTTTCTTCTTCTTGATTCGGGCGTGTTTTCTCTCCTACATGGTTGCCCTAAATCTTCTCTAAATCTCCTTTCTCTTATTTCCTTCTTCCCCTCCATCTCTTCCCCTTTCCTCCTCTCTTCTCTTTTTTTTTCCTCTCCTTTCCTCCTCCTCCCTTCACCCTCTTTTCCATGAATAGTGTCATGGCGGTAGCACCCCTTCCTTGGGGTAGTAGCTCCTCCTTCTCTAATCCTCAAATTTTGTTATTGATAACCCATTAAGTAATTTTTTTCCATTTATTTCAATTATTTCATTTTATGTTGATTGTTGTTGTTAATTATTGTTAATTGTTATTTTTGTTAATTATTTATTGATTAATTATTAGTGTAATTGTTATTGTTAATTATTAATTGTATTATTATTGTTAATTATTTATTGTTTAATTGTTGGCATTTAAAAATTTTAATCGTTAATTCTTGTTGTTTTATAATTTATTGGTCAATTATGAGCTAGTTTAATTTAATTTATTATTATAAGTATATGTTATTTGTTAATTAATTTAATTTTTTATTAAAATATTTATTTAAGTGTTAGTTTAATTAATTATGTGTTAAATAATTTTCATTTAGTTGGTTATTAAATGAAGTGTAATTGTTTGTATTTAAATAATTTATGTAACACTTTGTACCTAGGACCTAAAAGGTTGAGAATATTATTGTCGTTAACTTACATTCGAGGTGCAACGAATGCAAGCTTACAAGGTACTATAACTTATCTATAATATATCTAGGTATAAATTTCATGGCAAGAGTCTAATAAAGACGATTAGGTTTTATGTTTAGTTCAAAATGCAATACAAATTTTTTGAGTTTTTTTTTATTTTATTTACATTCCTTGGATCGAAATAATCATATCCGTGACTTGGTTTCTTCAAATTCCATTTTTATTAAATAATATAAATTTATTTAATTGTAACCCATTACTTGATAATTAATTGATTATTTCTTTCCGTTAAAGACCATTTAATTTAATTATCATTTATTTCATTATAGTGTCTTATTGCTTGGGTGATGCTAGTGTGAAAATAAATAACATAAAATAAACTACGCTATCTATAAGTACGCTATCATTTTACTATTAGCAACTGGATTGCATACAAACTACTATTTACATAGAAAAATCAATTTAATGCCAATTACTACAAAATTGGCTTATTACCTATTTATATTCTTTTAGAAGTTTCCTCTCTACTTGTTCATTGCTTTTAACATAACATAAAACGGACTAGCTAACCCTAATACATATATAACAACGACTAGTACTAGAAATAAAATAGCATGTATAAGGTCAACTCGTAAGTCGAAACCCCAACCGAGGTATATAAGTCTAGTGTATCCCTCCAAAATCAGCTTGGTGGAGAAATAAGCCATAGTTACCTTAGTTATCTACATAACAAGAAATTGGGTGAGCGACAATTCGAGTATCTTAACTTATGCATGCCATGCATATAGATGAATATGCATGTGTGAAAACACTAATGTGCATATACTAAATCTTCACTTTTCATGACATAAATACTTTTCATAAAAAAAATTTTGTCTTTAGACATGTCTCGTCATAGATACTTTAGGGTTTTCATAATGTTTTTGATGAATCGGACTAATCTACGAATGCGCTCTACTTAACCTCTAAAAGTGTACGTCCGCACTTATTCGGACCTAAACCATTAGCATCATTGTATGGAAAATCTATGAAATCCTTCCTCATAAAAATCCTCAAGGTCATGAAAAACACATTCTTTAAAATATTTCCAATTGCTATTGAAAAACCATAATGTAAAACATGTTTTTATAACTTTAAAACATTTTCCATAAAATTAGACATGCGTAAGCATTTCAGCGACAATATGTAACAAGGTTGACTCATAAATGCATGCCATGAATAATATGCAAATGTGCCATGATAATAGTTCGATAATATAAATGTATTAATAACATTACATTGAACAAATAATTTCAAACCACTATGACTAATACCAATACCAATACACCATAAACATAACATAATTCCACATTCATCGACATTACAAATACAATCAACATACATATTTCAAATACATTAAATGGTATTTAGAAAAGTAATCACACATTAAATTACACAAAATAAACCCTAAAACTTATATTTTTCCAACCTAAGTCGAATTATGCTATATCCTAACTTAACTATTTTCTTTCAATTTTAGCATCGATTTCACACATTATTCCACTCAATTCAATCCCAACTTTAAAAAACAATTTAATTAAACATCACCTAGCTAATTGTATGTACAATTTCCATTTTGGGCCTAACTTCTAACTATATTAACATAAGCTAATCTTTAGATCTTAATGAAGTTTTTCATTCTATTTCACCTAATTACATTTTTCTAAGCTTCAATTAATCAATTTAAGTGTTAAAGACCATTTTGAAACCTAAACCCTAATTTACCCATTTTAGGCCGAATGTGCCCTTAACCATAACCTAATTATTTCCTTCTCGTTTTATCATTAACTTTTAATAAAACGTAAATTAGTTACACATTAACATTATAAATCAATTTAATTAATATTTATGGGAGAATTTCATGCATAAACCCTAATTGGGCCTTAATGAGCCGAAATTGGGCGTAAGCAAATTTCTTCAATTTTCTTGGAATTTTTCCTTTCTATTCATCAATTCACACTCATTTAACTACTAATTGACTAACAAATCATAAATTGAAGGAAGGAAATCAAAACCCTAAAGCTGTAAGTTTGGGCTCAATATAACCCTAAGAAATTCATGAATTTTTCTTTAATTTAAATGAAAAATTTTCATTCCCAAACATTAATTCACACTTAATTAAGTCATAATTAAGCATAAAAAAAATCAATTGCATGTAAGGATAGAAAAGCCCTAAATTCCCCTTTTTGGCCGAATGGGTATCCTTGAATAACCCTAGAAAATTTTTAATTTTTAAATCTCAAATTTAAGTTCAATTAATATATTTCAATGTTAGTTAATTGAATTACAAGCTTAATTTCATTTCTCCAAATTTTTCTTCACCATAAACCCTAACCCTAATTTTCAAAATTAAGTCCAAAATTCACAAATTAAAGCACATAAATCACAAATTGACATCAATTAAAAGTTTTTTGTGAGGCAAATGAAGTTAACTTACTTGATTAAGCTCCAATTAAACCGTAAAAAGTTGGATGATTGAGAAATTTCTTCCTCCTTCCTTCCTCTACCAATTTTTGCCTAAGTTCCCAAATTTCCTCTTGATGATTCTTGATCTCCTAGCTTGATTTCCTTGCTTAATTAGTTGATTTTAGGTGTCTAAAGCTGATTAGATGGATTTTGGGTGGAAATTCATAAGGAAATTTTGCAAGAGTTTCCTTTGGTTTTAGCTAATTTCCATGCATTTTCCCTAATTTCTTTCACCCTATTTATAGCCAAATTTTTTGTGGAATTTTGACCTCATCTCCACCCTTGAACTGCTTGTGTTTTGGAGTAATCTTAGCTCTTAAATTAACCTTTAATCCTAACCCTTCAAATGGACTAATTTTTGGCTATCAGTCTTTCTTTAATTTTTGGCCTTCCATTTTGCATCCTTCTCACCACTCCTTTTTAACCAAGTCAAAACTCATTAATTAACCCCTAATCATGGAGCTAAATTTCGATTGGAAGGGTAGAGAACTATCCAAAATTTTACTTAATTTTAGTCCATAATTTTACTAATCTTTTCTTGAATTACTCTTCTTATCATCATTTAATTTTTTCGAGTTGACCGCTTTAGGTCCTTCTCTAAAAGGTATCTTAACAACTTTTAAACTCCTTAGTTTCATAGCTAATTTAATTTAGAAGTTCAAACTTTTAATTTTATGCAATTAGGCCCTTGATTCTAAAATTTTATTTTATGCTTTTTCAAACTTCAATTTCTCTTTAGAATAAACTCAAACTATTAACGGAATTTAATCATGATTTACATAATTTTTACACCTTCTTTTAAGCCTCCAAATTAATTATTTTGTGTAAAAATTACACTCGTTTCCTATAAAAAAAATTCCTTATACATGGAAAAAATAATTTAAAATTATTATATACTCCTA